CACTTACTACTTTCTGTTATTCGTTAACAGCCATCTATTATCTACTACCACTATCTGACATCCATTACCCACTATTTACTATTTGCTAAAATTTAACCATTATACCAAGTAAGCCTTTAATGGTTTCTTTTGAACATAGGGGAATTTTCAGAGAATGGAGAATTTTTTTTCAAGTCGTTGGTGAAAGTTAAACTCCCAACCAACTAAACTCAAGCACTAAAGCTTGGGGATGAACCATTGGGCCCGAAGACCCGGTTCTAAGTAAGCCTTTAATGGGTAAATATATATAAAAATATAATTTTATAGACAACAATATTAATTACAATAATATGATATCAAAAGTAAGCTTTTTCATTGTTCCCAATTGCACATGCTCTAAGTCATAATATAAACTTTGAATAACTCATGTAAAAGGATTTTAGCATGGGAAAATGACTCATATAATGTCCACATCCAATCCCATCTAAATCCATCACTATTAGCCTATTGGCCTAAGGGAAGGGGAAAGGGAAGAGAAGGAAAATTATTATAATCAATCAAATTATATTGTTACCCCTATAATTTAATTTAATTAGTCAAAATAAGACTTATCTCCCTTCTCCTCTTCTTTCTTTCCCTCTATTTCCCTCAAGTTAAACAAGTTATATGAGATTTTTACATAATATAAGAAATAATAAAAAAAAAAGCATGGAAATTTCAACTCTTATGCAATACTTCAACTTTTGCAACTAATCGAAAAGACCACTTGAAAAGATTAACTTTTTATCACGTCACACTTTTTAAATCTACTTTAGAAATACCTTTAGATTTGATGTTATAATACAAATCAATTGATTGTAGTGACCCTTCATTAAAAACCCAAAGAGAATAAAAATCCTTCTTAAAAAGCTAAAGAAAATAGAGAAATTTTAAAATAAAACAACTACACAAATCTTAGGGCAACAAAGCATACCTAGGAAAACCCTAAGAAATCTGTTGCTGCCCAAGTAAGAAGAATAAAGATGGACTAGGCTTTTTCTTTTTGGCAAAAGGTGCAGATTCTCCCTTCTTCGAAAATTATCGAGTTGAAGTAAATCACCACTTTGAAAAAAGAAAAAGAAGAAGAAGAAGAAGAATGTTGACGTGTTTTGGTATTTTTTGAAGTTTAAGGACCGAATTAGAATTTAACATATTTTGAATTGTTGATGAAATGTCTCGGGTTGCTATTTTTTGCCCTAAAATATTCAAGAAATTGATTGTAAAATTGATAGAATGTAATATATATATATATATATATGTTTCACATAAACTCAAGTTTAGGCTTAATTTTTTTCATTTATAAATATATATACATATATTCATTTCAATGTATGCTAAATCAGTGATTAGTGAAAATATATTTAATATTTTTTCTTTTAATTATATACATTGATATTTTACACATTAGTAAAAAGCTTTCCAATATAAACAAGTTGATGAGTTATAGGAAAAAATATTCTTACTTTGCACAAAATTCTATACATGGATGATTATCATGTGGGTGAAATTTTGAGTCATTGTAGTATATCATGTTAAAGAAAAACCATGACTCTAGTGGCCTATCAAGTGTGCATTATATTTTGAAATTTACAAAGTTGGTAAATCTGAAAGATCCAATGATGTAACACAAGCCAAGTCATTGTATTGATTACCAAGAGACATCACCCACGTAACCTTCATTGATACCAAATGCGTTATAAACTTATAAACAATGACGCGGAAGAAGCTTTCATCTACATGGTTTCACAACTCTACCCATCTCCCTTCTTCCCTTGGAGTTTCTATAATCCAAAACATTTTGGATCCCTGATTTTATAATTAAAATTACACTTAAAGTTTGAAAAAGATAATTCTTTTAACAAGACTAAAATTACACTTAAAAATTTAAAAGAGATAATTCTTCTCACTTATTAAAAGGAGAGAGAAAAAGAAGTGACATTATCCTTTACTCATTTTATTTTATTGAAGAAAATAAGAAAACATCTTTGGATAGCCATTAGCCTTCTTGGAAATAGCTTATATATATATAAAGACGTACAGAAGACTTCTACCCTATTTAATTTGAGAAAAGGAAGAGAAATTTCCTTATTTAGATAAAAAAAAAAAAAAAAAAAGAGTAGATAGGAGGAAAGAGACTTTCCCTTACTTTCCTTTAATTTTCTTTGTATTTTTGTTTAATCAAACAAGGGGAGGGAAATAAAAAGGAAAATGATCTCTTTCCATTTCTTCAAATCAAATAGACTATTTATGTTTGTGAAAATGATTGAGTTATAATGCTTTCTCTTATAATATCTTATATAATATGACATTACATTATATGAGTGGTTGACTTTTTTTACTTAACAAGATGAAATGAATTAATATACATCCAATTATGTGGTACCACAACACATTACAAAAAATAATACAAGAACAATGTAACTAAACTATTACTAGTCTAATGTCTTATATAATATGACATTACATTATATAAGTGGTTGACCTTTTTTACTAAACAAGATAAATAAATCAATATACATCTAGTTATGTGGTACCACAACACGTTATAGACAATAATACAAAAAACATTATAGCTAAGCCGTTACTCATGTAGGAGGTTTAGATGAAGAAGAATTATTTGGTCAACAACTGGTGAACCAAATAGTAATCAATTGAATTTGAATGTCAATCTATATACATGATATACATTTTTTTGACTAGCCCTTTGCACACCAAATCACCCACACACATTTTATTTCACAAGCTCTATACAAGAGTTAGAATACAATTCAACTTCACCATTTATTTCAATCTTAAAACATGTTTGCAATCACTCAACAATATATAATTTCTCCAAGTCTATAGCCTATAGGACAAACATTATTGAGAATGAATTAGAAGCACCCACATTATGTTATTGCTTTTGATTCCAAACTAGGAATTTGGGTAACTTTCTTTCTTTTAACATTTCTAACAGGAAGCTACAACAATGGGCTTTAATTTCCACCCAAGCACTAGACACCTCTTCTCTTCCACAATAGTGTACCCCTCAACAACCATGTTTTTCTCAAGCCATTTCTTGGCCTCACCCACCATCTTTATAGGGACAGCTTGAAACACTACTCAAGTCATCCTCCTCCGCCATTGGTCTACCCTCTCACTTTGCTCCACCTTTGCTGCCCCTTCGCAATTCATTATGTTCCTTATCTCCCTAAAGAAAATTGTTCCATATTAGCACACCTAGTGTCCTACCTAAGTAACATTACATCTAAGGAGTCAAATATTGCAAACTAATAATGTAGTGCTTCTATGAATCTCCCCAAAAAGAATGGCCCATTATGGCTCAAATCCTGCTCTAAAACCACCATAACATTCAACAAAAGCTTGTGAATCATCTACAAAACAGAATTCACAGCTCCCTATTGACTCAATATACTCCAAGAGGGGGGTGAATTGGAGTTCCAAAAATTCTCCCCTTTTGCAACCACAAAACCAAAATTAAAGAGAGTAGAGAAGAAGAGCTTGCTCAATAATTTTATAGAGGTTCGGTCCAACCACTTGGAATCTAGTCCTCTACCTTAGCTTCACTCACCAAGGATTTCCTCCACACTCTCCACTAAGAAAACAAGGGTGGCTTAAAGGAGCCACTCAATCCTTTTACAAAAAGAAGAGTGTTTCTCTCAAATCTCACCCCTTTACACTTAAACCCCAAGAATCCTCTCTACAAATCACTCTTGAAAGATTAATTACACCCCCAAGATCACTCACAAATAGAACAAGAAGAGGATTGCAAGTAAAGATCTCTCAAAGATCAAAAACTCAAGTTAAAGCTCATGTAGGTAGGTAAAGATATTCAATAGAATGCTCTCTTAACTTCCTTTAGATCTTCTACCAACCATATTTATAACTCCATGGTTGAAAATAGCCATTACTAGCCGTTGGGGGTTATTTAATGCTCTGCAAGATGGAAAGCTCGAGTTGCAAGATTGTTAAAACAACCAGCTTAACTCCCTAGCGCCGGCTCTTCACAGCCAGCTTAGATTTTCTGCAGCTGACTCTATGGGTTTCCTGCATTCTGTTTTCTCCATAGAGCCAGCTTAAAAATTCTGCAGCCGGCTTTACAGGTTTCCTGCACATTCTGTTTTCTTACACAGCCGACTGCAAATCATAAATCCGGCTTTGGGATTCCAACTTTAAACACATTAAATAATCTTCAAATAACTCGACTATTGTACATTAAATGCACCTTCACAGCAGGCTGCAAAGTTGGAGGCGGCTTTGTGTCTTTTCTCCGCACGCCCCAAACAACTTACTTTTAACTTTTTACCTGTAGAGCCGGCTGCAGCTTCTAGAATTGGCTCTCTGCACTTCCATAGCCAGCTGCAAATTTCAACAGCCGGCTTTTTGCATATTTTCAAGCCTTTTGGTCCATTTTTAGTGCAGTCCAAGTTTACTTACTTTGCAATCTTTTGACATTTTAACTACACACTTAAATGAGCCAATTAGTCACTCAAATGTGTTTTCTAATCATCAAAATCATAAGTAAAACACTCCCTTACTTTCTTTAACAACTGAACGAAGCTGGAGAATGCTATTAATAGCCAAAGTTTCACCATCCAACACTTTGATGTC